CTGCAATATGGACACCTTGATTAAAACAAAAATGTAACATCCATTGAATATGATTTCTTTATCTTCTTTATATGAAACTCCAATGAAATTTTGATCGCAGATTTCATGTTTTGAAGAAAAAATATCAATAAATGTTATCATACTGATAATCTCATTATTATACTGATATTTTCATTATTATACAGATATCCTAATTATTATTCTGATATCCTCATTATCATACTGATGTCCTCATTATTAAACTGATATCCTCATTATTATACTGACATCCTCATTATTATTCTGATATCCTCATTATTATTCTGATATCTTCATTATCATACTGATGTCCTCATTACTATTCTGATATCATCATTATTATTCTGATATCCTCATTATTATTCTGATATCCTCATTATAATACTGACATCCATATTACTATTCTGATATCCTCATTATTATTCTGATATCCTCATTATCATACTGATGTCCTCATTATTAAACTGATATCCTCATAATTATACTAATATCCTCATTATTATACTGATATTCTCATTATTATACTGATATACGTAACCTTTTTAAAATGTTACATCCATTAATATGATCAATTTGTAAGAAAACAGAAAACTTGTTTGTTAGAGCCGCCGCATTTTCAAAATACTAATTTATATGGATGTATATCTGATTGATGATCAAAGGGAATTTATCCTTGCAAAATGATTAATATAAATGCATGATTAGTCTACCAAATGAACAAGTTAAAGGGAAATCATTCTTGATATGTATTTTAATATATAGTATTAGTCTCCTTGGATTTTTTAGCGCCCTTACAACCTCAAATGCACAGTCTATAATGTAATTTATTTCAGTGTTTCTCCTAATGATATTATAATTATATATGTGACAAGGGGTATTTTTCTGTCGTATCATAAAATAAACACAGTTTGTACATGTTATTTAATTTAATTGGAATTGCCATAACCCAATCCTTGAGTGGGCTAAAGAGGTACATGTATCTTCACTTATATAGTGATGATGATATCAACTTAATACCAACTTGGTATAGCTTGATTCCAAATGATTCCAACAATGTTGCCAATTTGGTTCTTCTCCAGCCGGTGCCAAGAGGCGAAAGGGTTGTAAAGGTTTTTTACTATTTCAAATGTGCTGTGATTTAATGCTACCAAAAGATCACACTTTTTGCTGATTTTTTATACTTCAAAACAGCAGGTGTCAAGTTCTGCGTAGCAGATGTTATACGTTGCCCCGTAATATTTCAGTGTTGTTTTGTTTTTGTCCTTCGAGATTATTGATTCCAACACCTTTATGTGTTGAAAATTAAGTACGGCTCAAGCCGGTGCTATGGGGTGTGAGGGATGTTGTACTCTATCATCATTCCTCGTGTACAGACTCAATAACAAGAAAAGGAGAACAAAGATCAAGGCAAGGCGATATCCACAGAACGCAATCCCCAACACAATCGAGTCATACCAGCAAACCGAGTAAATTTTCATGTAATTTTGTTGATATTTCTGCAAGATTTCTCAGGCTTACTTATAATGCACCCGGATCATAGAATAACATTCAGCTTTATTGTATATACTATAAGGAGAAAACTCGGATCATATCACATACAGTAACAACGTATTTACAAAATTGAAATAATTTGTATAAAGTCATATATGTGACATCTTATAACTGTAACACCTTGTATACATCATGTGTTACTGCATTTTGCAGACTTCTCGATTGCTTTTATCTTACAAGTTTTTTCACGAGTCTACAGTGCATATATTTTACAAACGTTATTTCCCAAGTCAATGTCTCGTTCCTAGTACAGTGCATATATTTTACAAACGTGTTTTCACCAGTCAATGTCTCATTCCTAGTACAGTGCATATATTTTACAAACGTTATTGATGTACAGGCAGCTTAGTCTTCGCTATATATGGAAATAGTGGGAAGTAAATTTTTAACAATATATATGCTGTAAGAGCGGGAAAAACAAATGATACACGAATCAATTTTGTACAATTTTTTTATTAAGAAAAGTCACACATTTATGCTATCAAAACCAATCAAACTAACATGATTTATTTTACAAATACTACATTAATAACAAAAACAGTATAATAACAATTCTCTCTATGAAGCTTCCATGATAATACATATACTGAATACTGTTTTCCATAAACATTTCAAGTTTTAAACAGTCATGTTTAATATATAGGTTTATGTATAATTGACATATTACAGCATGATTTTATCTTAACTTCATATAGAATTGTTTAAGCATAAACATGGCCAAAATATATGTGTTATCAAGTACATGTAATTTAAGGTTTACAAATGTACTAGATGGATTTAATCATACAATATTCACTAAACAGACATAGTTAATATATAAAATGTATAATTGACATAAAATATTACAGCATGAACTTATCTCAAATTCATATAGAATTGTTTAAGCATAAACATGGCCAATATAGATTTGTTATGAGTACATGTAAATTGTATTTTTACAAATATACTAGAATTATAAAATCATTATTCCAAGTCACAAACAAACATGTCTGATGCATATGTTCACAAGACATAACAAATCTAAGCATGAAATAAACATAAACATTCATATATCTAGTTAACAATTAATAACATCTTCATGTAATTATATGTTTACTTATATACTAGATGAATTTACTCGACATATACATTTAAAGTTTAAAGGCACATTTCGCCTCAGAAATGAATAGCTTTTTTTTTTGTAAAAGGGCCAATATGTGTTTTATAATGTTGTAATAATATATTTAGAACAAGTGCTATTCTTATCACCTGCCAAAAAAAATTGAGTTTGTTAATAGAGATGCAAAATGTAAAAAAAAAATGTAATTTGACTTCCATATATAATACTTATTCACCATAATTGTACTAGTTGCTAAAATGCAAAAGAAACAAAAGTTGGCTAAGATATATGGCCTATGAAAAATGTTTTGGACACCAAAAAATATATACTTTTGAAAAATAACATACTGCATTTTCTAAGCTTAATGGGCCTTTAAATCAAACATGAATAAATGCAAAAGAAACAAAGGATGGCTCTGGTATATGGACAATAAAAACTCTTTGGACACAAAAAAATAAGCTTTTTAAAAAATAAAGTGATTGCATTTTTTAATGCTTAATGGGCCTTTAAATCAAACAGGTATAACTGTTTAAGATGTACGTAGGATTACATGTCCCAAAATCTTTCACTATATAAAATAATGTTATCTTATTTTCATAAAAGGATTGCAATAGCATGTAACTTAAACAACAAACATGTATATATATGTGATAATATGTTTACATATGTACTAGATACATTCAATCAGAATTTCATGTTTCAAACTTTCATGTAACAAACAGACATGTGTAAACTATATTTATATATAACATATCTTAATCTTGGTATATACTAACATCAGCAAGCATAAAAAACTAACACACCTATAATAAAATGTAGTTATATCTTTACTGTCTGAAAACATTTAATATATATTTTAGCATTGTCGGAACCCATACGTACAGATTTGGCTGAACTACATTCATCACAAATGAAGTGTATTCATAACCAGTATGCTTTAATTACCCAGGATGCATTTTTAGACAAAATATTACAACATATCTTTTTAGTTATTTCATGTAACATATGTTTTACAATAAATGTAAACTAACATATCATAATTATGTTAACATCAGCAGAAATATAACTTATGTATACCTATAATGTTATAATGTCTTGGTACTAAAATATGACAAATTGTTTAATTAAAAAATTAATTGAACCTATCATAAATTATCTATGAACATAAATATCTGATAGTATATAAACTTATAAAATATGACTGTCTGTGTGAAAGAGCATATTGGCATCCGAGAGCTGGTATATATCCCTCCGGTAAAGCTGAGACTTGTATATATCCCTGATGGGCAACTGAGAACTGACTTATGCCGAGAACTGGAATACATCCCCTAGTCGAGAACGTATATATATCCCCCAAGGTGCAGTCAAGAACAGGTATATTTCCCTGTGGTGTAGCCGAGAACAGGTATATATTCTAAAGGCGAGCTGTGAACTGGTATATATCTCTGAGGTGTAGCCGACAACTGGTATATATCCCAAGGGACAGCCAAAAGCAGGTATATATCCCTGTGATGTATTTGAAAACAGGCATTATATTCTAAGGTGGAGCTGCAAACTGGTATAAATCCCTAAGGTATTGCAGACAACTGGTATATATCCCTAAGAGGGAAGCCAATAACTGGTACATATCAACCAAGGGGCAGATAACTGGTTTATATATATCCGAGGGGCAGCTAAGAACTGGTATATATTACCAAAGGGGAGCTAGAAACTGATATATATTACCAAAGGGTAGGCAGATAACTGGTATATATCTCGAAGTGACCTCGAAAACTTGTATAGTACCCCTGAAGGGCAGCTCAGAGCTGGTGTATATTACCAAAGGGGAGCTAGAAACTGGTATATATTACCACAGGGGAGCTGGAAACTGGCATATATCTCAAAGTTACCCCGACAACTTGTATAGTACCCCTGAGGGGCAGCTGAGAGCTGGTATATATCCCCGAGGTGTAAACGAGAGGCAATAAAGCCAGTTGAAGAGTCAATAAGCACTAGAACCTGACAGCCATGTATATTTTTACCTCAATTGTACATTTCTATTGAGGATATGTATGAAAGCATCATGAAATCATATTTACATCCATGGTGTATAACCTGTTTTGTTTAAAAATTATGTTATACTGTCATATTTTCATCTATGGTGCATAAATTGTATGTTATACTGTCTATGTAGTTAGAGTATATACAAGTACATCTAAATTTACTGCAAGGTATATCTATACTTGCCTAGTGTTTAAAATTATCATTCTAACATAAACAACAAAGACTTCACTTAAAGGAGCTCCACTGAGGTCAAAAAGCCAAACAATAAAGAATAAAAATAGAAAAGCCAAAACTGATTAATCGGGTTAAAAAATAAGGGAAAAAATGATACTAAAGAAATATACTCGGAATAAAATAATTGAAAATCGATATTAATGAAGTGTAATTTTCAGACGAACTTTAGCTATAAACATTTAAACACTATCGACAGGACGTACAGTGTGCTTGACTATCCACAGTGATGGATAATGCAGAATGAGCTAATTTCAAAAATGGAAATAAAAGTATCCTAAGTTTGACACCAATGCGGTAAGTACTATTATAGCATTAGCTACTCATTGAATAGCCGAGCTAAACTGATTACTAGTATTTTGGAAAAACAAAGTGAGCAAATAATCTGAAATTTTGAATACAATTTATTTACAAGAAAAGTAATATATCTTCTTCAAATAGTATGACACATCAACAACATAACTCCCATTAGACATCCTATCATATCAAACAATTAATATAATAAAATCCTCAGTGGAGTCCCTTTAACTATACAATTTGAAAATTACTAACTGTATTAATCTGTACACATAAATCGTTTTGCATAATTAAAACATTTCTCACTTTTTTACAATTTCTACAATATAAAACAATCCAAGAAGGAATCTCTAAAACATAACATGTAAATTGTCCTGATCTCAATGAAAACAATTATGTATACCATTTACTTTTCCTATATATCATCTAACAAGTATTCACTGACACATATAAAATTTACTATTCTTCTTTATCACATAACACTATATATCATATAACTGGTAATAATATATACCATTCCCTTGTCCTATATATCATATAACCAGTATTTACATATACCATTCCCTTGTCCTACATTCCATATAACCTTTTACCATTCCTTATATAACATATATTTGGTATTTATTTATACATTTGTAACATTTCTTTGTCATAGTTATCACTTAACTGGTATTTATATACACCATTCATTTATCCTATATATCATATAACTTGTAACAGATTATAACATTCCCTTGTATTGATTAAATAAAACTGGTATTTATATATATACCACTCCCTTGTCCTATATATCATATAACTGGTATTTACATATACCAATCATTTGTCATATATATTCATATTTGGTATTTATAAATATCATCCACTTTTCCTATATATCATATAACTGGTATTTATATATACCCCTGTCCTATATATTGTATAACCGGTATTTATTTATAACATTCCATTATCCTATACACCATATAACTGGTATCAATATATATCATTCACTTGTCCTATATATTGTGCAACTAGTATTTGTTTATACCATTACATTGTCCAATATATCATATAACAGATATTTATTCATTCAGTTACATTAATCTTTTACTTCTTCTGCCCTTGTACATTATGATATAACTGGTATTTATATATACCTGATTCCCTTGTCCTTTATATCATATAACTGGTATTTATATATACCATTCCATTGCCATACATATTTATATGACTGGTATTTGCATGTTATCTTTTACTTCTTCTAACTTTTCTGACCATGTAAATTACATTAAACATCTGTTTTATGATATTTCCATTAAATTTACTTATTCATTAATTTATTTACTTGTTTATTTTCAAATCTATTTTATGCATTATAATTAGAACATTACTTTTTTCAAATCATATTTCTTTTCACAAACTATCTCTGCTCTTTAAAAAAATAACCTTTACCTTTATCCAGATTAATATATTTTTTCTTTATATTTCACTGCATTTATTTCATTTTTTTTATTTAAATACACATTTGAATATTACTTTCATCAATTTCAATATTACTACAATGATCAGAAATTGATATTTAATGAACTGTTTTTGATGATTGTTATTTATCATATTGTATTACATTCATTATTTAACATATCAATATGTAACTTTAGTATTATTTTTTTTTGCTGATAATGTTTATTTTAATAATTATGTCTTTTATCATGAAATAATTTAGATTAAGCACTATGTTAACTGCATGTATTCTATCTCACTATGTTAAAAATTCAGATCATTTTCTTTTTTGTCAAAAATGAAAAAAAAAATATCATCTCTTTTAACATGCACTAATTTATGTTTACTACATGTTTACTATATCACTTTTTTGTTGAAAATTCAAACCAATAATCACTATCACGTTTAACATGAAATAACTGATCCTTATCTTTTACATACTGTTTAGCATCATTTCCCTTCTCTCCTCCTAGTGATGTCCATGTTAACCTATCATCATTAAACTCCTCACCATCTCCTGTTATATAACATTCCCATACACTCACATCTACAGTATGAGGAATACTAGGAAGACTATCAACAAACTTCTGCCATGTTGTCAAACTCATTATGACTTCATCAAGCTTAATGTTCTTTAAACTCTTCATCTCTAAAGGTGACTGTATTATATTGTCAGTTAACCTACAATGCCATAACACAAGCACACTGAGATTGTGTAACAATGGTAATACTGTGACAAGTCTCTTTGTTATGTTGGTATGATATAATTGAGATTTATTGAAAATATTCTCCATACAATTTAAGTTCTTTTAATTTGTTAGATTTTCTAATAATATCAAATATTTTCTCATAATAACTATCTTTCAATTTACTAAATCTAAATATTTCAAGGTTTGTAGTATCAGCATCTATCACACTAACAGTATCATACAAATAAAGGTACTGAAGTTGTTGATGTTTTGATAAATTTACATCATGCTGGTTCTCACACTCACATTTAACAGACTCAAGATGTATTTGTTCAAGATGACTGGTTCCCTCAAGAAAATTACAAAATGTACTAGTGTAATCATGACTCATTGTTATACGACTCATACTTATTGCTACAAGATTGATCATACTAGATAGGTAACTTACAACTGTTTTATATATTGGATAGTACTTGCCAGTGTTAAAGACATCATTAAGAGTCAGATATTTTATTGTTGAAGTATTTACTTTAATTGTCTCAGAAATACAATTGTTTACCTCATCAATCCTCTGTTCATTACTTTGTGTTCTATCACTTTGTGATCCATGTGAGGTAGGGCCATATGTTACTGCAATTTTTTCAAGACGACGAAACATTGGTAAATATTTTGTAAATTTCATATTTTGTGTGTTGATGTAATCTACCTTAATAGACAGAACAGTGTCAGGAACAATTTGATGCTGATCAATACCTGAACAAACAATATCACAAGACTGACCCAGTATATCAATGACCAAATCTCCTATATAAAATACAGGATTACTTCCTACTCTACATGTTGCATTGAATTCTTCCATTGACTCAAACATAAGCTCTTGAATATCAGTAATACAATCATGATCGCTATAAAAGTCACTATTTATTGTTCTCCTGTATTCCTGAACACAAGAGTCTTTCGATGCAGTATCATATATGTATTTTGAAACATGAGTTGCTAATCTAGATTCTAGACCATATAGCATAATAATTACATTTGACTGCTCTAATATGTCATTGACTGTTGAACAATTCCGAAAAACCTCACAAATAAACTTTTTGACTAATTCAACATTTCCTGTACTATCTGATGAACACATTTTTGCATTGAAATTTATACCAATATTCACTGCAGCCAGAAATTCTTGCATTGATTTGTGAATGAAAGAGAACAATGAGCTTTTAGGTTTGGATACAGAAAAAGAAGGACATTTATCTTCTGTCAAAATCCCCAGTTTCAGACATGTTTGTCGCACATCTTGTGATATTTTCAAATCATCAAACACAGATTTGTCAAATGTTAAGGACTTATCCTTTGGATAATTGAACAATGTCTCATAAGCCAAGCGTGACACACCATATATAAGATGACTATTTAATCTACATATCTCTACATCTGTTAAATACTGAGGGAGTTCAACATTCTGAGAACTTTCCATACATTCTGTATTATTTCCTAAAGTTTTATTGATATTCCAGGTGAAATAAAGTTCTAACATACCAGTATAAATAGCACACCTTGAGGTTTTATCGAGTTTACCATCACACCATAAACAAACCAATTGTTGCAGCATAATTGGTACCTGTTTCAGGCCAACCAGAGACTGTACATTAAGCTTTTGTTCACACACATTAGGATCTAATGATTCGTTCAATGCTGTTATTGTTTTCTTAATCATTTCTTTTTCATGTGTTTTATCAAACCCTTTTAATTTCAATAATTGATGAATCTCTCTATTACTTACTCTCAAACTGTGAATTTTCCATGGCCGTGATGTAGTAACAATGGTGTATTTCTTTGTAAAGTCACGTTCAGGTAGGCCTGCCTGGAACTCATTCCTAGTCTCACTGTCAAAAGACCATTCATCTAAACCATCAAGCAAAATAATTATCTTTTCAGAATCATTTTCAAGAATGTTACTTAAATTTTTTATCTTATCATATCTCATTTCAAGCATTTCTTGAATACTTCGGATCTTTACATTATGTCTAAGAGAAATATAAAACATGAAATCAAATTTCTTCATTTCCTTGACTCCTTCAAACTCATCATCTGTATTGGGTCCATCACTGTGTGCCATACACCAACAGTTGATCAAATATTTACAGAAACTACTCTTACCAGACCCTGCATCTCCAATAACATAAATAAATTTCTGTGGTTCCCCGTTCTTGGTGAAAATCTCTGACATGGTCTTTATTTCTTTTTCCTCAGACTCCCCTCTGTTCTTTTCTATCTTTTTTGTTAAAGTGGGTCTTATATAAATGTCACTGAAGTTATAATTTTCCTCATCTGGTTGTAAAGGTATTGCTGATACTTTAAGTACATCACTGCGATAATGTTCTATCAATTGAGTACGACAACCTGAAATTTATTGAGCAGTCAATAAAGTCAGCAAAACTTACAAATTATCTTAACATTACAAGATTCCCTCACAAACTGGAGAGTTCTCTGACATTGAAATGATGATTTTGTAGTAAGTGCTGTTTTGTAAAAGAATAAATTAAATGTAAAATTATATGTTAAAATTATCACAATTAGGGCAAATTTTACCTATTTTAGCCTTATAATATTATATGAAGCATACCTGATTTAGCCTTTTCATATTCTATATAACATACCTGATTTAGCCTTTGACCTCCATAGATGACATTGACCTTGAGCAAACCAAACACAGACATTGGTTATGCATACTGCCTTGTTGAGGCAAATTTAAGGAAAATCACACAGGGGGTATAGAATATACAGAGAAAAGAAAAAAAAGTTTGATGTTTGGCATTTGTCCTACAAGGGGATATTGACCCGATGGAAACAAACAGACGGAATGACTGACCTAATGATGCCGCAAAGTGATTCCAGTATAGCACCAACCACATTATATGGTAGGATATAATCAAATGTTACATTGTAATTTCATAAATTTAATAATATTATAAATTTAACAAGGAAAATGCAACGGACAAAAAAAAAGCAATGGAAAAGCAACAAAGGGCAATAACTCTGTAATTACTTTAGATAGAGTTATGGTTCTTGTGCACTGCACTTCCCCTTATTGTGTTTGACAATTGTATGAATTTGTTTTGAATTCCAACCAGTAGTTTTCAAGTTATGCCCCGGACAAGGAAAAGTAACAAAGGGCAATAACTCTGTAATTAGTCAAGATAGAGTTATGGTTCTTGTGCACTGCACTTCCTCTCAATGTGCTTGACCATTGTATGTAGTTATATTGAATTCCAATCATTAGTCTTCAAGATATGCTCCGGACAAGGAAAATGCAACGGACATCTGGACCGACCAACCAACCAACCGACCGACCACCGGTGACTCCTATATACCCCCCCAAACTTCGTTTTTGGGGGTATAATAAAGTATATTTGTTTTTTGTAAATCATACTGTTTATCAATACTTCAGTTATATAGTAGACATTTAAGTAATTTAGTGTTTGACAGTATGATTGTAGTATTTCAAATGAATCGTAGTTCTTGTGGTTTCCTTACAGCCAAACCTTTCTTACATAAATTCTAAAGGCAGAGAGTGCACCAGATAGTTCAAAGAGGTAGACTTGAAGGTACATGCTTCAATTCTTTTTTTTTGAAAAATGAACTAAGATAGAGCTATCTAAAACATGAATAAAAACAAGCAATTATCATAGTATTGCAAGCAATCCATAAGTCCCCTACCGGTTAGAACCCCATCAACATTCTGAAGGGCCATTGGCCATTCACTAATGTTTCAATTTTTCTATATTTTAAGAAAATTTGTTGGAAAAGTTCTTTAAAAGTGATCACAGGAAACAGTTTTTATGAACAGACAGACAGACGGACACTCTAAAGTTAATATTTGAAACAATTCCCTGTTACCAAAATATAACATTTTTAACAGCAAAATTCTTAAAGAGGAGATAACTCTTGAATTAAAGATGCAATTTCATAAAAAAATTTCAGCTCTTTTTGACTAATCACAAATAATGTCATATTTGCCATGTTTTAAGCCTATTTGTTGCCAACGCAACCAATATTTTTTCAAAATAGGGAGAACAGATAAGACATGCATAATCTCAAGACTGCCATCTACCCATATGTCAAGTTTCATAAAAATATTTCCAGTACTTTTTCAGTGTATGTGTAAAATTTGCCATATTTTCAGTCTATGTGTTGCCATAGCAACCAGAATTTTCAACATAGGAAGAAAAGAAAAAGACATGCATAATCTCCAGACTGCCATCTACCCATATTACAAGTTTCATAAAAATATTTCTATTACTTTTTGCGTTAACACAGGATCCAGTTTATGTGTAAAATTTGCCATATTTTCAGTCTATTTGTTGCCATAGCAACCAGAATTTTCAACATAGGAAGAAAAGAAAAAGACGTGCATAATCTCCAGACTGCCATCTACCCAGATTTCAAGTTTCATAAAAATATTTCCAGTACTTTTTGCGTTATCACTGGATCCAGTTTACGTGTGAAATTTGCCATATTTTAAGCCTATTTGTTGCCATAGCAACCAGAATTTTCAACATAGGAAGAAAAGAAAAAGACGTGCATAATCTCCATACTGCCATCTATCCATATATCAAGTTTCATAAAAATATTTTTAGTTCTTTTCAAGTTATCGCGGGATCCAGTTTTGTGGACGGACGGACTGACAGACAGACAGACGGACAGACAGACATGCGGACAGACAGACAGACGGACGGAGGGTAAACCTAAAGTCCCCTCCGGTAAACCGGTAGGGGACAATAATATTGTATGATCCGGAGTATATAATTATATCATTCTAATTTCTAAAATGATAAAGTAACAATTACATTCAGCTGGTTTTTATTTATATAAATGGCAATATCATACACTTGTATGTACACCATCAAAACAAATATTTACTCACCTAACTTGGTTTGCTCATTAACTGCTTGACTTTGACCTGAGGAAGTTTCTGTCTTAATTTTTGTCATCTCCTGCAAAAACAAATCATCTTCTTTACTCCAAAAATACTTTTAGTTGAAGACTAATCTATAAGATATTATTAAGATGTTACTTTCTAGAACTGGGGTATCTGTGGCCAAGTGGTTAAGGTTGTTGACTTCAAACCACTTGCCCCTCACGGCTGTGAGATCGAATCCCGAAAGACCATTTGAATTATTTCATGTGAAGAAGCTATCCAGCTACATGTAGCTTACAGAACAACCATGGTTCTACTCAGGTACCCATTTGTGCCGGAAATAATCCACGGAAGGGCACCTGAGGTATTCCTCCACCAGTAAAGCTGGAGCGTGGCCATATGATCTTTACAATGTCGGTGTGATGTAAAACCCAATCAAACGAAAAACAGAACTGCCACTGTCATGGCGTGAATACCCCTGCATACCACTTTGTCAGAATAAACAGTAGTCATTAAGAGCTCAAGGACAACCTTCCTGCCAAATCTGTTGGTAGTAAGCCAGTGCATAACTAAGATATGTATACTACATGTTTTTAGTGGCAAAGATCAAAGTGACCTTTACCTTTGACCTACTGACTTCAAAACTGAAACATGCAACTGCATGACTTGAATACCCTCCAAATTCATGCAGCTTTGCTGGGGGTGTTTTATGATGAATATATGAGAATATAATTATGCTTCAAATGTGAAATGTCAAAATCAATACACTGTGGACAGGCATTCTTAAGCATTTGAGCAGACAGGCTTATTGTAGTTAAAGCCCCTGTGACCTTTACCTTTGACATATTCACCTAACAAGAGGGCCATGATGGCCCTGAGGTCGCTTACCTGTATATAGCCCCCCCCCCCCACGTTGCAGGGCCAATTTTAACCCAAGGGCTTTTATTTGCACAAACTTGGTAGACACCCATAAGAAGATGTTTCATGCTAAACATCTAAGCTCTAGCTCATTTTGCTTCTTAAAAGAAGATTTTTTTAAGTTTTTACTATACACATATAGTTAAAAACAATGACATCCCTGGGGCCGGCCAGTTTTGACCCCAGGGCTTTTATTTGAACAAACTTTGTAGACACTTACTAGAAGATGTTTCATGCTTAATATCTGAACTCTAGCTATTTGGGCATTTTCAAAGAAGATTTTTTAAGTTTTTGCTAAACACATATAAGGAAAATCAATGACCCCCGGGGCGGTGCCAAGTTTGACCCCAGGGCTTTTATTTGAACAAACTTGGTAGACACCTATTAGAACATGTTTGATGCTAAATATCTTAGCTCTAGCTCTTTGGGTTCTTTAAAAGAAGATTTTTTAAGTTTTTACTATATGCATATAAGGAAAATCAATGACCCCCGGGGCGGGGACAATTTTGACCCCAGGGCTTTTATTTGAACAAACTTGGTAGACACCTATTAGAACATGTTTGATGCTCAATATCTTAGCCATAGCCATTTGAGTTCTTTAAAAGAAGATATTTTTAAGTTTTTACTAAATGCATATAAGGAAAATCAATGACGCCCCGGGGCGGGGCCAATTTTGACCCCAGGGCTTTTATTTGAACAAACTTGGTAGACACCCATTAGAAGATGTTTCATGCTAAATATCTTAGCTCTAGCTCTTTGGGTTCTTTAAAGGAAGATTCTTTAAGTTTTTACTATATGCATATAAGGAAAATCAATGACCCCCCGGGGCGGGGACAATTTTGACCCCAGGGCTTTTATTTGAACAAACTTGGTAGACACCCATTAGAAGATGTTTCATGCTAAATATCTTAGCTCTAGCTCTTTGGGTTCTTTAAAAGAAGATTTTTTAAGTTTTTACTATATGCATATAGGGAAAACCAATGACCCCCCGGGGCGGTGCCAAGTTTGACCCCAGGGCTTTTATTTGAACAAACTTGGTAGACACCTATTAGAACATGTTTGATGCTCAATATCTTAGCCATAGCTCTTTGAGTTCTTTAAAAGAAGATTTTTTAAGTTTTTACTATATGCATATAGGGAAAACCAATGACCCCCCGGGGCGGTGCCAAGTTTGACCCCAGGGCTTTTATTTGAACAAACTTGGTAGACACCTATTAGAACATGTTTGATGCTCAATATCTTAGCCATAGCTCTTTGAGTTCTTTAAAAGAAGATTTTTTAAGTTTTTACTATATGCATATAGGGAAAATCAATAACCCCCCTGCGGGGCGGGACCAATTTTGACCCCAGGGCTTTTATTTGAACAAACTTGGTAGACACTTATTAGAACATGTTTCATGCTAAATATCATAGCTCTAACTTATTGGGTTCTTTCAAAGAAGATTTTTTAAGTTTTTACTATATGCATATAAGGAAAATTAATGACCCCCCGGGGGCGGGGCCAATTTTGACCCCAGGGCTTTTATTTGAACAAACTTGGTAGACACTCACTAAAAGATGTTTCATGCTTAATATTTTAACTCTAGCTATTTGGGCATTTTCAAAGAAGATTTTTTAAGTTTTTGCTAAACACATATAAGGAAAATCAATAACCCCCGGGGCGGTGCCAAGTTTGACCCCAGGGCTTTTATTTGAACAAACTTGGTAGACACCTATTAGAACATGTTTCATGCTAAATATCTTAGCTCTAGCTCTTTGGGTTCTTTAAAAGAAGATTTTTTAAACTTTTTACTATATGCATATAGGGAAAACCAATGACCCCCCGGGGCGGTGCCAAGTTTGACCCCAGGGCTTTTATTTGAACAAACTTGGTAGACACCTATTAGAACATGTTTGATGCTCAATATCTTAGCCATAGCTCTTTGAGTTCTTTAAAAGAAGATTTTTTAAGTTTTTACTATATGCATATAGGGAAAACCAATGACCCCCCGGGGCGGTGCCAAGTTTGACCCCAGGGCTTTTATTTGAACAAACTTGGTAGACACCTATTAGAACATGTTTGATGCTCAATATCTTAGCCATAGCTCTTTGAATTCTTTAAAAAAAGATTTTTTAAGTTTTTACTATATGCATATAGGGAAAATCAATGACCCCCCTGCAGGGCGGGACCAATTTTGACCCCAGGGCTTTTATTTGAACAAACTTGGTAGACACTTATTAGAACATGTTTCATGCTAAATATCATAGCTCTAACTTATTGGGTTCTTTAAAAGAAGATTTTTTAAGTTTTTACTATATGCATATAAGGAAAATCAATGACCCCCCGGGGGCGGGGCCAATTTTGACCCCAGGGCTTTTATTTGAACAAACTTGGTAGACACTCACTAAAAGATGTTTCATGCTTAATATTTTAACTCTAGCTATTTGGGCATTTTCAAAGAAGATTTTTTAAGTTTTTGCTAAACACATATAAGGAAAATCAATGACCCCCGGGCGG